TCACAATCATCCATCAAGGCGGTTGCAAAGTGTCAACTATGAATGAGTGCGGTAAAAGACTTGATTTGCAGTTTGCGTGAATAGCCGGGGAAATCATGCAAATTCTGTGCTTCAGTATCAGTATTTGCTGCTTTTTGTGCAATGGAAATTAATACAAGAAATGCTGCCAAAAGACAAGTTCTTCTAGTAAGCAAAACAACCCTGAGACGTTTATTTTGAGAAATTGAGAAAACGAGAAACAATAGACATGCTTCGGCAGGGTATCAAGGGTATTTTGATTATTTGAAGATGGAAACTGGTGCTTTATGGAAGAGCAAAGTTCAATGTCATTGGCCACAGTAATGACATTTTTAGATGGATGACTCGCTAGTATTCGCCGTAACTCCGTAATTTTCATTGGGTTTATACAATATTTACATGTTACTGTCAGGAAGTATTAATCCTGTTTAATGTATTGTTTGTATTTGTACAGTGTGAATGAGGGATTTATTGTCAAAATATATACGGGTGCTTGAAACTATACAAAAATTCGACCAATGCACATCCGTTTCATGTGTTAAAAGAACATTGTGATGTTCTCATGGAATTGTCAAATCTTGGTATCATTCCCAACTGTCACCAAATTGTATGTTTTGACGACTCATGTGTAATTGTAAGATTTTGTTTCAGGTATACTCGAAGTGAATCTCAGCACTGTGCTTTTTATAAATGTCGTGGTTTTGTTATAAGCAAGTATCAGAAGTATTGGGGCAGCCAATTTGCAAACTCGCTAGCGAATTGGGTAACTGCTTGGGTTTTGACTAAACAGTTTGCTTTCGAATCTCGCTGTCGCCGACTTGTGGTCGCGTCTACTATGGATGACTCTATATTGTTTTAGGTCTCATAGAATGCTTTTACTTGGCCTGGTACGTGTCTGGATTCATCTGGACGATTTTCTTTGTTATGTGAGGCGGCGTGATAATGTAAAAGTAGTACGAGTAATTTATAATTTATATGGGGATAGCAATCTTGAACACGGTTTGAAACCAAATAAAGAGACAAGTTGAGAAACAGTTTCCTACAGGGAGAAAACATTTCCAGTTATTATGATTGTGTGCATGAGAGCTTTGCCCCACACACAATAAGACAGGATGATATGCACGGATATGTATGAGTGTGTTTCATAGATTAATAGACCACTTCTTTGCTTCAATCCCAACTATATCTCTGGAAATATCACTTGCTGTTTATCATCCATATTTCGATATCCCACAGTGTGTCTATTGCGTGTCTGGTAATTCAAACTAACTACTATTTCGCAAAATTTGGCCAGCCTTGCTTCTACCGGTCAATTAAGTCAATCCCCATATTGTCCTTGACAGATACTAGTATATTGTAAATTACACAGAGGTAAAAGTACAATACACTCCCCTTTACATTCCCTTGCTTTACACAACAGTCATTATGCTGAGGTAGTGATGGTTCAGAACCATCACCAGTTCTTATGTTCTATTCAGCAAACACGGGGATTACCCGACTTCGTAGGCATGGTATCCCTTGCATGTTGTACTTCCGGGTCATATCTGAAAGTTGAAGGTTGGGTTGCCTGGCGATTTTAAAATAGCCGACCAATTGTATATATGGGGCACATTAGATACTCCCTCTTGGTAGTTAAATGGTAACGTTGATTTGTTTCAACCGAGGACGCAAACTTCACACATGACGTTTCGCGAATTCAAGTATGAAAGCTCCCATCGATCGTGTCACGATCCCGTTTAAAGAGTGGTTATATCGTTTGGGTAGATAAACAAAGGTATTTTTTTATTGTGCTCCAAACTGACTCGAAGAACTCACTGTGAGTTGACACATTCGTAATCATGTTTCTGGCGGCAGTGATTATGTCCCTGGCCACGATGAGCGTTGCAGAGCCTATGTGTGAAGAATCATTGGATGGACCGCAGTTCCAGGGACGGGCAACTTATTTCCACGCGGCGCCTGCCATGGCTGGTAATGGGGCTTGTATGCTTGCTTCGGACGACCCGATGGTTGTCGGGATGGCTGGTGAAAATTACGAGAATTCGCAGGTAAGTGATTCCATCTGTTCCGTTTGTGGTTTTGAGTTACATACACGTACATGAATAACCGATCTCGATGACATAAATAAATAATGCAGTTCATCTGTGTGATTCCCATTCCTTAATCAGATCCCGATATTTAACAACACACCTCTTAGAATGAGAGAAAGCTACTGTTGCCTGTCTCTAAAAAAACACATCGTTGAGTATGCATGAAACGCTCGTTACTTGCCAACTAACGAACGAGGCTATAGGCGATTGTTATTCTCGGATAAAATACATGTATTATTTACTGAAATCAGTAACCCGCAAGGACTTCTTTTGAAATCACCAAACCTATTCTAGTTCACCCAGCGCATCAACATTGGGTGTGTACGTACGTTAGTCAAATTAGTTATACCACATGATAGAGGGACCGGACTGACTGTGGTTATACAGAATGACAACATTTGCTATTAGCCTGTCCATTCCGTTCATCGGTCGATCTTCTTTGTTCACCGTAGCTGAAGTGGAGAAAATGTCCTAGGGAAATACTTACCCTATTATAGTAAAATATCCCTATAATAGGGTGTGTCTACATCGCGCGTTAAAATTTGCATATAACATTAGCGCGTAATAAAGTTGTGATGAAGGAAAGAGTGGTATAAACAAAGATCAGTGATTACTTGAAATCGATACCAGGAAGGGGGGTAAAAGAAAAGTTATATAACATTTTATTATTTAATAATTTATTAAAATACATAAGTTTGTCCAACTCCCTGTGGCCGAAGACGCGACCTTACCAGGGAGTCCGGGGCATGCTCCCCTTACAAAATTTGAAATCTATACCCTCTGAAACGCTATTTCTGTATTTTGAGGGGCACATTTTGCTGACAAAAAGGGTTTCAGCTTGATTTTGGAGGGGCGACGCTCCCCGACATTTTTCGGGATGTATTTGATGGCCCTAACTACTTTTCCCAAATTAAAATTGCTCTCTACACCCCCATACATTGATTTCTATGGACAATAAAAACATTGTTTAAGGCTCGAAGCTGGGAAGCCATTATTTTTTCTAAGCGTGCCTCTTTGATGAACGAACGTCATCTAGTTCTTTTTAGAGCTCATTCTCATCTCCCAACACGCAGGTACTTTTTACGGTGTGTACTTTGGTCATCGAATTTGTTATACAGAATACGAATACAACGGTAAATATTTGCGATTAGCCTGTCCACTCCGCCCATTTACAACAGAGAATCTTTATTGTTCGCCATAGCTGAAATGAAAAAAACCCGAAGGACTTTACCCACCGCATACACGACTTTGTAAACACTTAAAAAGAACTTATAAATAGAATATCATGACCGAATTTACAACAAAAGCCCGAGAACCTCTGTTTCAAGTGGACGAAACGTTGACGAACTAGGCCTACACTGTAAGTGTCCTAAGCACTAATCCTAATCCAAGAGAGAATTAGCCTGACATGTAGGCGTGAGTGGTGCCCTCGCCAATCGAACGGTATGAGACTATACTAACGCCACGATGTGTTGGGTTTGAAGCACCACAGAAGGCGCAACCCACGCGACCTTGTCAGACGAGAGAGAATGAGAGAACAAATACAATGCATCGTTTTGCAGCTGAATGAAACTACAGTCGCTCTATCTGTGTATCTGTGGTGTAAGAAATGTCCAGCCAACAACTATGGGCTGTGTCTTTCGTCGGAATCCGATTCTCTTGTTCTTTTCACGACCGGATAGGTATAAGAAATATTGATGATTTCAATGGCCCCTTAGACGTGAGTGGTGCCCTCGCTGGCCGGACAGCATCAGACCCTCAACTGTGTTGGGTTTGATCCCCAGTTTTAGTTTGATACACTTATTTTCGTCAGAGAAAGCTTCGTCGCTGGGGGCCACGAATTATTGAGTTCATGTATTGAATGATACCACTGTTCATCCCAAGAGACATAGACAGTTATAGTGATTTAAACAGCTCAAGTCAATTCAAGAACAGTGACGTAATTTATTGAGTTGTACCATGTAGGCCCTCCATGCTATTATCTATCCTGGTCATCGTTCCATTCTTTCGTGAGTCCTGTCCACAACGGTCTTGATTCCGGTCAGTGGGTGACTATAACACGACGTTGATTGACTGACAGATATAAAACGCTGCTAATGTAATAAGCTATTTTTCCCAAACTAACTTGTTGACGACGCCCAGTAGAATGCATCCTACTTCTACGAAAATATGAAATGAATTCTGCTCTGGGTAAACACGTGCAATTATTATCAAATCTGACACCATCAATCTAGTGATTGTTCAGAGAATATCATTAAGCTCATCTATGTTATTATCGTGCTCATCATACAGGTTTGCGGGGAATGTATTGAGGTCACTGGACCTCATGGGAATAGGTTGTGGTCAGCGTCATAGACATGTGTGGGTGTGAAGAAAATGGTTTAAATTTAAGTCAGGAATCTTTCAGGATCCTCGAATCTGATGTGAGTTTTGGGTCGATTGACGTTACCTGGAGAGTTGTAACCTGTGACATAGAAGGAAATATCAATTATAGGGTGGGTATATATTATATATTATATATATATATATATATATAGATTAATCTTTCAGCTCATTAGCAATTTTATGTTTTAAGTTCGTAATGGTATCTTCGAAAATGATGCTATAAACCACATACAATTTTATTTTATGTTTTAAGTTCGTAATGGTATCATTCGAAAATGTTGCTATATACCACATACAACTTTTAACATTGGTGAATCAATGTTCTGTTAAAATGAACAGGAGAATATATGAGTGACATATCCCATACAAACGAAGATATGACATTATGACTCACGCAGCATACAAAACATATGCAAATGAAAAAAATTAAAGAGGTATTCTGAGTTAATTTTGCGTTAGAATGAATTTTAATTTATTTTAAGGGGGGTGTGACTAAAAAGTAATTTAAGAAGTGCACCCAGAGTACAACGCATGAATATATGAATTAAAAACAAATTCAACATAGTTATTCAAACCGCATATTTGTCTTCGTTACAGTCTCCTTAAAAGAGAATATCATATTCAAAGGAATAAATCACGTAGTTTCCTTCGACATACAAACCCTATGTATTATATGCCTTGATTTTATTTCTAGTTCCTTGATGGGAGTTCAAAATGGTGGTTTGGAATACAGGCAATCAATCATAAATATCCCGTGGCCAGAATGGAATTAAGACAAAGGAGAACTAACGCATGGATTGACCTGGAACGGAGTAACACTAATTTCTTCATGAAACCCACTTCTATCTCTACAATTGAAGCACCGTTTGAGTTGAGGTTGACGTCGGTTAACGGTTATGTTGTGACGGATAATATCGATGCTATTCAAAGTGATGAACTGATTGAGGGTACTGGACAATTTGGAAACTGTAGAGGTGAGTTGATATTTT